GAAATGCAGAACCTCAGCCTCCATCCCGGACCAAAAGCATCAGAATCTGCATTTTACCAACATCCCCAGTAGATTCCTGTGAATATTGAAGTGTGAGGGGGGGTGACTTTGATACACTGATCACAAACCATATTCCTTATTTCTTCAGTGTGTGCACTTGCTTACTGTCTGCTTCTTCAGTCATGTGAACTGCTTCAGGCGGGGGCATTGTTTACCTCTGTGCTGCTGTATCCCAGCACTTAGCCACATCTCCGCAGGTGGTTGGCAGTCAATACGTATTTGATAAATTAAACATTCCATCTGCCTTCCTCAATTGATCCATGAAGAAACTGAGGCTCAGAAAAAGTAAGTGATATTTTGAAGTTACATGGCTGTTCTGAACAAGGCCAGTGCAAAAAGAAAAGGAAGGAAGGAGCTGAGGGGGGTGGAGAGAGAGAGAGAGAGAGAGAGAGAAGAAAGAAAAAGGAAGGAAGGATGGAAGGGAGGGAGGGAGGGAGGGAGGGAGGGAGGGATGGAGGGAGGGAGGAAAGGAGGAAAAGAAAGTATTCTGAGTACTGTGTATGTGTGTTCTGGGTGATACAACAAAGCATGGCCTAAAATATCTTTGGCTATTGTCCCTGTATGGTCTTCTAATATTGATAACAACGATTGCTTATTTATAATATACATTGTCACTTACAGTCCACTTTCACACATACTTTCACTTAGGGTTCTATGTGGAAATTTACCCAGAACTATTGTTGTAGGTTTTCTTTTATTAAGAACAGAGAAAATGGAAAATAAAACCAACACATTTGTGGAGTTTCTTTATTAATGCACCAAGAGATCACTGAAAAAGGGGAAAAAAAAACAAAAAGTAAACTTTCCCATGAGAGTAACCTTAAAAGACCCTGTTTAGTGGAGTGGACAGAACTCTTCAGTCAGGTGGGAACTGTCTGGAAGTGGCTGACACTCTTGGAGGATGTCAGAGGTAACCCCAAGGGTCTAACGTGGATTGAACAGAAGTGATTCCTAATTTATTTTTATTTTCATTACTGGCCTTAACATTTAGTTCCACAGACATTTCTGCCTAATTAAAAAAGTTCCTTCTGTGGTTAAATTATGCTTGTCACTCACAGTTTAAAGTTTAGCTCTTTCTAGCTCCTAATTGGCATGCCACAAATGAACCATAACATTGAACTTGGGGTTCTCTGACCCTGACATTCCCAGCTGGTTTGAAATACACCTTCTCTGGATCTGGAGATGTGCACCACATACTCTGAAACTGTTTTTTTTTCCCTCCTACAAAAGGAAAGGAAGTGCAGGGAGATGGCTCTAATGGTGAGACTCAGCTGATGGACAGTCTGTTTTCTAAGGATATGTTCAGCCCGTTGCCCACAGACAAGAAGGGGACCTAAAAGCTGCCAATCTCACTCCCCTCCAATACAGTGTCCTGACCTGTGGTTATCCATGTATTCTTTCTTATTGTGATAAATTATACATAACATGGAAGTTGTCATTAATACATCAAATAACCATTTTAAATGTACAATTCAGTGACAATAAGTACGTTCACAATGGTGTGCGACCATCACCACTACCCATTTCCAGAAATTTTGCAGTGCCCCAGGCAGAAACTCTGTACTCATTAAATAATTCCTCTCCTCATTTACCTGTTCTAGGCTCTTCACATAAGTGGAATGATACAATATTTATCATTTTGTGTCTAGTTTACTTCACTTAGCACAGTGTGTTTAAAGTTTCATCCATGTGATAGCATGTATCAGAAATTTATGATGGAATGAAATTCCATAGGATGTACAAACCACATTCTGTTTTGGGTCGTTTCCATTTTTTTGGCTACTGTGAATAATGCTGTGAACATTGGTGTGTATGTATCTGTTCAAGTCCCTGCTTTCAATTTAATCTATGTTCAGCCTTTTGAGAAACCACTAAACTGTTTCCCACAGCAGCTGCACCATTTTAAATTCCCACCAGCAATCCACAAAGGTGCCAATTTCTCCACACTTGTTATTTTTCACTTTTGTTTTGCTTTTATAGAAGCCACCTTATTGGGCATGAAGGGGTATCTCACTGACATCTAGGCATTCTTTTTTCTTTTTTTTTAGATTTTATTTATTTATTTTTAAAGAGAGGGAAAGGGAGGGAGAAAGAGATGGAGAGAAACACCCATCGGTTGCCTTTCACACACCCCCAACTGGGGACCTGGCCTGCAACCCAGGCATGTGCCCTGACTGGGAGTGGAACTGGTGACCTATTGATTCACAGGCTGGCACTTAATCCACTGAGCCGCGTCAGCCAAGGCGACATCTGGGCATTCCTAAACGCTTTCTGAGCTGGGAGCTCTACACAGCACCAGGAAACTATTGCCTGTCAGGAAGTCCTTATTTGCATGACTAAAGCTTGCCCTCCTCTAGCTGTGATTGTCAACCTTGGCTGCAGTTAGAAGCAACTGGAAACAATTCCAATATTAGGCTACAACCCAGGCTAATTAAATCAGCATATTTGAGGGTGGGGCCCTAACATCAACATTTCTAAGGCTCCTCAGGTCATTTCAATATGCAGCCAAAGTTGAGGACCAACTCAGCTGGAAGCGTGCTCACTCTTCTAACTTCCTTGCACCATCTGCAGTGCCTGAAGTGTGACACACCTGTCACTGGGCCTTCTCTGATCACTCTGGTAAATAGCCATCAGGCACCTCACACTGGCAGTCCTGCCCTGCTTTCCTCCTAGACTTTTTGCTCTAACATGGACCACCAGCTGACGTTTGATATAAATTCTTTCTATCTATCCATTGTCTGCTCTCTGTTTTTGCTTATTTCTGCTTTCCCAGGACATATAACAATGCCTGGTGCAGGCAAGGCGCTCAGAAAGTATTGTTGAATGGATGCTTGCACAGATGTCTTATTTCAAATGACAGCCCTTCAGGTAGTTAAAAATAGCTTTTGTGTCTTGTACTGGGTCTTCGCTAGGTGAAATCTCTGTGTCTTCAATCAGTTTTCAAAGACATCGAAGGATAAACTTGATTATTAGGAATACAATATGTCTTTCTTTCATTCAACAAGCAAATAATTGAGCCCTTCCTAGGTACTTCACATACCTCTGCACTCCAGATACCATAGAGTAGACTGTGCCTGGCACTGGGAACTGTGCTGGAAAAGGTACGTGAAGTCGATCTAGGGGATGGGGGTGGGCACAGACAAGAATCAGTAGCAGGAGTCATTTCAGATAACAATAAATGCTATAAGAAAATGACAAATGTGGGCTGTGACACATTAAGTGGGGGTTAGCTTTAATCTGAGACCCAAAGGGCAGGAATAAGCACTCCAGGAAGAAGGCACAGCTGATAGAGGCCAGAAGGACAACAAGTTTCAGAGGAGCTGAGTCGGAGCCTCTGAGAAGGACAAGGAAAAAGCCACTGTCACCTCCTTTGTTAGACACTTTACCTCTGTTAACATGGCCTAAGGTCCAATTAGTTTTGGGTAGCCACAACACCCTATGAAGGTCTTTTCTCTCATTGAGTTAAATCTCCCTTGTCCAATATTTGTGCTGCCAATAATTGGGATTTAGGTGTGGGAGGGTGATTTAGATGAACTTAACCTCGAATTTCTTCTCATCTGAACCCTAGCCAAACAGACCATCAATCAATCAGTCAATCAATCAGTTAAGAAAAACACTTGTCAGCACGGTGGAGGGACGCTCTTGTTCTTCCATCGCCGGAACAGCGGTTCCTCATTCTGGTCAGCATCTTGTCCTCCGTGTCAGGCCTGGTGGGAGAAGTTCTGGACGAGGCCAGAGCCAGGACAGGCCAGAGCCAGGACGTGCGGGGCTGCTGCCATTTGGGGCCCACAGCCACATGTTGGTTTTCAGTTGAAGGAGCTCAGTAAAGACAGATATTTCTTGATCCTTGGGACCCCGTGGGTCCAGTCGTGGGCTCACGGGGCAGGCAGCCTCTTCCAGACCAGCCGCCAAAATGCTCTGACAACTTGGTTCCCCTTTCTGGGCCTCAGTGGCTTATACTGGAATGTGAGGTTTGAGACTGAGAATTTTAAGAGTGTTTGAAACTTCATTTAAAAAGAACTTTTTATTACTCTGTTAGAAATAATACCTTCCCTTCCCCCACCCCCTGTAGCTTCTTAGTAATCTGCAGACATGCTTTTGTGGATAGGGGACACTCACTTCCACATTAATAAAACGAAATGATTTATACTGGGGCAGCTGTATTTATAGAATCAAATCAGAAGCCAACATTGACAGGAACACAAATTTGAACTGTTACGTTGGGCAACAAAAGAAATGTGGCTTTAGGGCAGTGAAATGAATTCCTATGTTTATTGATTGGCTGCTGTCTTTCCAATGGGCTTGACAGACTCTGAGGCCATTTTGGCCAGGCCAGCTATGTAAGGACAACCTGCAAGCCACGGCCTGTTCCCAGGACAGTTCACCTGCACACGGCAGCTTCTGCACGGGCTGGGATGGGGTCCTGAAAACAGGGTGGCCTTTGTATTCATGCAGACCTGGTTCAGTTACCACCATTCATCCACCCAATGCCACCTTTCCTTCATCCAGTGTGAATGACAAATTGGAATTGACTTTATCAATAGATGAAACATGAAGTCCTGCCTCATGGAGTTTACTAGGTAGACAGGTGCACAAAACAGGGGTCAGCTCAATACATTTCTGAGCACTAGTTGAGGAAGCACAAGCTGACAAAGCACTCTGAAGGGAGCCACAAGGGCTCTGATGGAGAAGAACGGTGCGGTCTCCGGTAGTTCATTCATGTCCCTGAGCCTCCTCCTCCCTGTTATGCAAGGCTCCCCGAAGATACCATGTAAAGTGTCAGGTGCACACAGTGGCATATATTAGGTGCACAATAAGTGTGTGTTTCAGCTGCAGATGGTGCAGATGAATGAAGGAAAGATGAATTTTCTTGCCCCTGTCTCTGGGTTTCCTTCAATTCTTTGTGTGTGTGTGTATGTGTCTGTCTGTGTGTCTTCCAGTTCCAAGGAGGGTTTTAGGTCAGTGGAGAAGGTCGTGCTGCTCACATTTCTCTCGGCGGTGATCCTCATGGCCATCTTGGGCAACCTTCTGGTGATGGTGGCTGTGTGCAGGGACCGGCAGCTCAGGTGAGTAGCATGAGGAAACCTGGGTGGGTATTCTGGCCTCTCCGTGGAGAGCTGGGGTCTGAACTTTGAATATCCATTATAATTTGTCATTATAAAAGGGGGAAAAATCCATGGGGATGATGCTTAGAAATAGAGCAAGGAAGAAAGATCAGATGCAACCCCACAACTCTAACATGACCACTGTGAACACTTAAGTGTGTTTCCATCCTGTCTTTTTCCCTGTGTTTAATTTGGTTGGGTTTTTTAGATTGTGATCACAGTATGTACATACCGTATTTTGCTGTGTATAATGCACACTTTTCTGCCCAAACTTTTTTGGGGGAAAAAAGGGTACACATTCTACATGGGTAGTACAAATTCCATATCTATGTAAATGTTTTTAATTCTTTTATTTATGTTTATGCATTCAAAGTGTAACTCTTATCTGCTTAGAAAGCAGTAATGATATCTATATATAAAATAATACCCTGGATTAAGCTTTTTGGTTTTGCTTCTAAATATAAATAAATAAAAATTGAATTAAAAAATAAAATGAAAGATTTTTTTTCCTGAAAGTTTGGGCCAAAAATGTGGGTGCACATTATACACGGCAAAATATGGTACCTTGAGAGCACATCTAATCTAACTGCTTTACTTTATCAGTTGGTTCAGAGACTGACCCACCTAGGATTTAAACCTGGGTCTTTGGCTCCTCCCACTTCATCAGTCTGAACCCTCACTGCAATTAAGATCACCTGGAGACCTTTTAAAAACTGCTACTGTGTAGTATAAGTATGCCCCATGCAATATTTGGGACATACTTGTACTAAATAAGTATTTATTATTAATCTGAAAGTCAAATTTAACGGGGTGTCCTACACTTTACCTGGCAGCTCTAGGGGTGGATGCATGTGTTAATCACCCCAAATTGCTGACCTAGTCATTCTGGGGTGAAACTTGGGCACCAACGTCTATGAGAATTCAGGGGGTGTTTCCAGTGTGCAGCCTGGATGGAGAGCCACCAGGGCATGAAAGGGGGTAGGAGACGCAGTCCTGCCTTATGTACTGCCTGCCTCTCTAAGCATGGCAGGTGTTAATCCAGTACCATGCAACAAAGCATAAAAGCACACTTCTGATTGGTGTCCCAAACGTGAGGCACGTGGGGGTCAGTCCAAGAGCGGGAAAGAGTGGAGTTTGATGCCATTTGTGAGGGGCGCACCTCGGGAGGTTCCCTGAGAACAACCAGGCTGGAGCCTGTAAGACTGGTGGGTGCAGTTAGGCTGATGGCAGGGAGAGAGAGCACCCTGTGGAGAGGCCCTTGGGAGTTGCTCCACACACAGGGGTCTCAGATCAGGCCAGTGTGGCCACAGGGGAGAGGAGGAACGGGCTTTGGGTACATGAGGAGTGAGGAGTCTGGAGAATTTAGGAGTGGCCAGACCATGCAAGGTTTTTCCAGCCATGTTGCAGAAGGGGAAACTGAACCTCACGGGATACATTACACATTTGACTTTCTTTTCTTTTTCCTCCCTCCCGTCTTTCCTTCTTTCTTTGCTTTCCTTTCTGCCTCTTTTCTCTCTTGCTCCTTTCTCCCAAACTTCCTTCCTTCGTCCCTCCACCTGCCTCGTCCTTGTACTTTTCCACTCACAGGAAAATAAAAACCAACTATTTCATTGTCTCTCTTGCCTTTGCGGATCTGCTTGTGTCCGTGCTGGTGATGCCCTTTGGTGCCATTGAGCTGGTCCAGGACATCTGGATTTACGGGGAGATGTTCTGCCTCGTCCGGACATCTCTAGACGTCCTGCTCACGACAGCATCCATTTTTCACCTGTGCTGCATTTCTCTGGACAGGTAAGGACGGAGCACCGTGCCTAGTGGGGCTCTGGGCCGGAGACAATGGCCTGGAGACTATTGGAGTGTGCCTTTCTTACTTTCCTAATTCCTTAGAAATGAGTTTTAGAGTGTTTAATCTGATTGTTCACTTTAATCTGTACTCATTCACTTTCCAGCCTTTGTGGAGGGCACTCTCAGAGACCTTGTGGACACAGAGTTTAGGAAGGCCTTGGCCTTGCCTGCAAGGGGTTACAATGTAGTAGAGGCAGGTGCCAGCCATTGGGTTTACCATAGAGCTCTCAATTGTACAATGGTGGCATGAATCAAGTTCTGAGGAGGCTGAGTGCCAAGAATTAATACATCTGCCTGGTAGGCAGCGGGAGTGGTTCTGTGTTTGAACATGACCTTCTCTTGAAAGTGTGCTGTATCACAATTTTAGGTGTGTATTTAGGTATGTCCCTGTGACTATGGAGACTCTTTTCCAGAAAGTTAAAGATCATAATAAAATCCCCCAAAACCCAGGGCTAGCATTTCATTCTGCTGCATATTTTTTTTCTTTTTCTTCACATTTGGCTTCAGGAAGCCTAATGGTTTTCATCTTTGCCTCATCTGTGGAGATGTAGGTATTTTAGTTGCATCAGTACTTTAATGTGACTAATTCCAGCTCTTGTGTATCTAACAGTAAAGGAATAATGCAATCCAAAAGTCAGAGGATTACCCGAACATGTGCAGCCAGCACTGCAGCCCTATCTTAGGGGCTGGTTCTCAAAGGAAAGTGTGGGTGCACATCGCATTATCAGAATTACCAGGGACAATCTCTCACTGTCTCTTGAGAGTCCAACAGATCACCAGTTTCTCCTCCTGTCTTGGGATAGGTGACTGTTTCTTTCATTGAGGAACAGGGAAACAGGTGACTAAAATCAAAGACTGTGGTATATCTAAAGTGTGTGCCTTTCAGCACTAAAATCCGAGTCTCCCAGAGAACTACTCGCACTCTGAAAAGTCCTTAGGGACTGAGTCCAGCTGGTGGAACAGCCGATCCGTAGCCATCCCATGGGGCAAGTGCTCAGTGATTGGAATGGCAGGCGTGACGGTCTAGGTTATATAAAGTGTGCTTGCCCTCCTTCTCTCGCTCTCATTTTTCTCCCTCTGCCAAGAACTTGGAGTTGAATATGCTTAAGTTAAATGCATGTATAATGAGATTCCATCTATAACTGGAGATAATGACGTTGATAAAACTGAACTGTTGGTTGACAGCTAGACCGGCAAAATAGTGTATCACAGTTTGACATTTGTGTTTATTAGCTTGTTTATAATAATCTGACTTCAGTACATGAATGACTTCTTCAGACAGTTGGTATATACCGTGTGAAAGTTCACATCAGAAATAATGGAAGGTAAGAAAGTAGAAAATGCATAGACATCCTCCAGGGTAGCCTGCATGTGATCACTGCTCACATGAATTTGGAGAAGGCAAAGCTGAGGGATCAGGGCATCTGGAGGTGGCCTTGAGGTTTGGGCAGAAGCCAGGGGAAGCAAACGAGCCAGGTAGGGAGCGAAGAATGGAGGGAAGAGTAGCATCTCTTTCTGATGTGGAGTTCACTCCGGGCAGCTCTGACAGAAGGACTCAAGGTTCCCTGCATAGATTTCGCTTCCGAGTCCCGTATTAACTGTCAAGTTCTTTTGAAATCATGAAATTTTTCCTGAGTTGTCACGAAGCAGTACGGGCTGGTCATTAAGAACCATCTGCTTTAGAACTCAAGATTTGGTTCAAATCCCAGATCTGCCCATGTTTAGCTCTGAGATTGGTGATAAGTTTGTCAAGCCTTTCTGAGTCTCATTTTCTCATCTCTAAAAACGGGGGCAATGACACCTATTTTACAGGGTTGCAGTTAGGATTAAGTTAGATAATCCATTCAAGGCATAGCATTGGCCCAGCTGGCAGAGCACTCAATGTTAGTGGATGTCAATTTCAGTTTCTCTTAACTATGCATGAAACTCACCAACTTTCTTACCAAACTTGGACCTTCTTCTCCGTGAATAGCTCTAGCAGCTGCATCATTCAGAAACCGGGTAGTTATTCTTAATGTGCTTTTACTTTATCCCCTACATTTAAATAATAAGTCCTATTAGTTTTCCTTCCTGAACAGAACCCAGTCTGTTTCTCCCCATCTCTATCATCCTAGTCCACACTAACACCATCTTTTGCAGGAGTCACTGCAGCCACCTCCTGATTGTTCCTCCACATCTATTTTATGCCCTTCCAAGACACTTGCCTCTCACAAGCCCTCACAGCTATCTTCGAAAAATGCAACTCTGATCCTGTCATTCTTTTGCTGCAGACCCTTCAGTGGCTACTCATTGCATTGGGGATCAATACCAAACTCCTTGGTCTGTAGGGGTTTGAGCTCTTCCCTGTGCCCCAGCCTCATTTCATGCCTTTTGCCAGCCTTGCTTTCTGGCTGCAGCTACCTTGGCCTTCTTTTTCCCTTTCTAGTGCTCTGTGCTCAGCCATCTCGAGACCTCGGCTCCTCTCTCTGCTTGGAAAGTTCCTTTGCCCCTTCCTCTCCTGTATGCCTTTTAGACCTTAGCTCAATCCTCTCTTGCCTACAGAGAAGCCCTCTCTGGCCCCATCAGATCCATTCTCCCTGGAGACCTTAGTACAATTATGGTTAAAACCACACTTAATTTTTCTTAAATGTCTCTGCCTCTCCCAATGGGAGAAAGCACAAGCATGTGAATAAAGACAAGGTCGCTGCCCTCATGGGACTTACCTTTTAATGTGGGAGATGGACATTAACCAGTAATTATGTAAATACTGATTTAGGTATTTGGTAAACACTGTTGGACAACTGGAGTGCTCAGCATATTCTCTTTGTGAACAATGCTGCCAATAATTTCATTTTCTTCTTTGGTAGCAGACATCAAACACTCCAATGCCATGACTAAAATGGAGTCCAGTGGTTTTGTTTTTCTCTGTGAGCCTGGGTCACTTGCCAGTTGTCTCCCTGTCCCAAGAATGGTATTTCACTGGGCTGGAAGGTCCACCCTGGACACTGCAGGGCAACAATGTAGCCTGGTAGAGTATGATTGCATATATCACCTAGCTCTGTTTTTGCCATGTCCCTCCTATGACAGGTGGGCTGGGGTGGGCTGGGGTGGGCTGGGGCAAAGCACAGAGTGCATGTCTCAGTCAGGTGCAATGTCATCATTCATCACAGGACTCCTGGCAAAGTGTCTTGTCCTCCTCTCCAGAGCTGCGGTGAATCTTTGGAGATGACTCATGAGGGGTAGTGCCTGTTGAGCAAGAATGCTCACTGCGATTCCTAATTCCACCCAGATGGCAGACCCCTAGATCAAAGCAAAACATTATGAAACAACATTTCCCCAACGACCATTCTCCATCCACAGTGCTTCTGGGTGTACTGAGAATTGAATCCTATTAATGAAAGCTATTGCCTCATTAAAAATAACTTCTAAAGCATAATTAAAACTCATACATTCCATAGCATGGGTCATGAGAGGTCAAACTGCATTAAAGCACAGAGTACCATTGCCTATTTTATTTTTATTTATTTATTTTAATATATTTTATTGATTATGCTATTACAGTTGTCCCATTTTCTCCCTTTCACTCCCCTCCCCCCTGCACACCCTCTCCCTCCCACATTCCCCCCCTTTAGTTCATATCCATGTGTTGTAAGTTCTTTAGCTTCTACATTTCCCATACTATTCTTGCCCTCCCCCTATTTTCTCCCTACCATCTATGCTACTTATTCTCTGTACCTTTTCCCCCCTCTCCTCCTCCTACTCCCCTATTGCTAACCCTCCATGTGCTCTCCATTTCTGTGGTTCTGTTCCTGTTCTAGTTGTTTGCTTAGATTGTTTTTGTTTTTGTTTTAGGTATGGTAGTTAATTGTGAGTTTGCTGCCATTTTACTATACATGCTTTTTATCTTCTTTTTCTTAGATAAATCCCTTTCACATTTCATATAATAAGGGCTTGGTGATGATGAGCTCCTTTAACTTGACCTTATCTGAGAAGCACCTCATGTGCTCTCCCATTCTAAATGAAAGCTTTGCTGGATAGAGCAATCTTGGATGTAGATCCTTGCCTTTCATGACTTGGAATACTTCTTTCCAGCCCCTTCTTGCCTGCAAGGTCTCTTTTGAGAAATCAGCTGACAGTCTGATGGGAACTCCTTTGTAGGTTACTGTCTCCTTTTCTCTTGCTGCTTTTAAGATTCTCTCCTTCATTTTTACCTTGGCTAATGTAATTATGATGTGCCTTGGTGTGTTCCTCCTTGGGTCCAACTTCTTTGGGACTCTCTGAGCTTCCTGGACTTCCTGGAAGTCTATTTCCTTTGCCAGACTGGGGAAGTCCTTCTTTATTATTTGTTCAAGTAAGTTTTCCACTTGTTGCTCTTCCTCTTCCCCTCTGGTACCCCTGTAATTCAGATGTTGGAATGTTTAAAGATGTCTTGGAGGATCCTAAGGCTCTCCTCATTTGTTTGAATTCTTGTTTCTTCATTCTTTTCTGACTAAATGTTTCTTTCTTCCTTTTGGTCCACACTGTTGATTTGAGTCCCAGTTTTCTTCCCAGCACTATTGGTTCCCTGTACATTTTTCTTTATTTCACTTAGCATAGCCTTCATTTTTTCATCTAATTTGCGACCAAATTCAACCAATTCTGTGAGCATCCTGATTACCATTGTTTTTTTTAATTTTATTTTAATCATTGTTCAAGTACAGTTTTCTCCCTTTTACTTCCAATGCAGCCAACCCTCCCAACCCTCCCCACTTCCCTCCCATTACCACCCTCCCCCTGGTTTTGTCCATGTGTCCTTTAAATTTGTTCCTGTAAATCCTTCCCATTGTCCCCTGAAATTACCAGTGTTTTGAACTGTGCATCTGATAGGTTGGCTACCTCTTTGTCGCTTAGTTGTATTTTTTCTGGAGCTTTGACCTGTTCTTTCATTTGGGCCATTTTTTTTGTCTTGATGCTCCTGTTAGGTAGTG